CCCCGGTGACCCCCTGACCCCCGGTGACCCCCAGGCCGGCTGCTGCTGCCCCCCAAGAACGTGGAGGCGTTTTTCCTGTCCCCGCGCGGCTCCGCGGGGCTGCAGCGGCAGCAGGTGCTGCTCAAGCTGGGGGACCAGGTGGGGACACCCCGGGGACACCCCCGGGTCCGTCTGTCACCCCCGGGTCCCTCTGTCACCCCGGGGACACCCCCGGGTCCCTCTGTCACCCCCGGATCCCTCTGTCACCCCCGGGTCCGTCTGTCCCGTTTCCATCTGTCACCCCCGTGTCCGTGTGACATCTCCGTGTCTATCCCTGTGTCCCCTCACTGTCCCCTGAGTGTCCCCCGGTGTCCCCCATGTCCACTGAGTGTCCTCTGTGTCCCAATGTCTCCTGAGTGACCCCAGTGTCCCCTGTGACTGTCACTGTCCCCACTGTCCTCTGAGTGTCCCCAATGTCCCCTGACCGTCCCCACTGTCCCCCCAATGTCCCCTGACTGTCCCCACTGTCCTCTGAGTGACCCCAATGTTCCCCCAATGTCCCGATATCCTGCCACTGTCCCCTCCCTGTCCCCACTGTCCCACCAATGTCCCCTGACTGTCCCCAATGTCCCCTGATTGTCCCCAGTGTCCCCAATGTCCCCCCACTGTCCCCAATGTCCCCCCAATGTCCCCTCACTGTCCCCTGACTGTCCCCCCAATGTCCCCTGACTGTCCCCAATGTCCCGTGTGTCTGTCACTCTCCCCTGTGTCTGTCACTGTCCCCACTGTCGCCCCGTGTCCCCTGACTGTCCCCAATGTCCCCTGACTGTCCCCACTGTCCCCCCAATGTCCCCTGTGTCTGTCACTGTCCCCTGACTGTCCCCACTGTCCCCAGTGTCCCCTCACTGTCCCCTCCGTGTCCCCTGACTGTCCCCAATGTCCCCTGACTGTCCCCACTGTCCCTACTGTCCCCAGTGTCCCCTGACTGTCCCCAATGTCCCCCCAATGTCCCCTGTGTCTGTCACTGTCCCCTCACTGTCCCCACTGTCCCCTGTCCCAGCGGGGTCCGTGCGAGGCCGACGCTCTCCGTGCCGGCCCCTACGCCAACGTCACCTCCCTGGAGGACATCGTCACCCCCCGCTTCCTGTGCTCGGGGGGGCACGAGCCCCGCGTGGACCCCATCGCCTGCCCGGGTACGGACCGGTATAAACCAGTATAAACCAGTATAAACCAGTATGGACCAGTATAGACCAGTATGGAACAGTATAGACCAGTATAAACCAGTACAGACCCCCCGCTTCCTGTGCTCGGGGGGGCACGAGCCCCGCGTGGACCCCATCGCCTGTCCGGGTACGGACCAGTACAAACCAGTACGAACCAGTATAAACCAGTATGGACCATTATGAACCAGTAGAGATCAATATAGACCAGTGCAGACCAGTACAGATCAACACAGACCAGTATAAACCAGTATAGACCAGTATGAATCTGTATAGACCTGTACAGACCAGTACAAACCAGTCCATCCCAGTTCCTTCCAGTTCCTCCCAGTTCATCCCAGTTTGCCCCAGTTCCTCCCAGTCCATCCCAGTTCCTCCCAGTCCATCCCAGTTTCCCCACAGGTGACTCTGGTGGCCCCGTCGTCGTCACCTGGGGACAGCGACACTTCCAGGTCAGAGGGGAACTGGGAGGGACTGGGAGGGGACTGGGAGGGACTGGGAGGGACTGGGATGGAACTGGGACGGGAACTGGGGACACTGGGATGGACACTGGGGACACTGGGAAGGGACTGGGAGGGACTGGGGGGGACTGGGATGGAACTGGGGACACTGGGAGGGGAACTGGGACAAACTGGTGATCCCAGGGGTGCAGCTGACCCCCAGGTGACCCGAGTGGGCGTGGCTCTGTCCCATGTGACCCGGGTGGGCGTGGTCCCTGGCCCCAGGTGACCCCGGGGTGGGCGTGGCTCTGTCCCATGTGACCCGGGTGGGCGTGGCTGTGTCCCAGGTGGGCGTGGTCAGCTGGGGCGTGGTCCCCGCGTGCCGCGAGCGCCGCGCGCCGTCCCACGCCCGCGACTTCCACGTCAGCGTCTTCGAGGTGCTGCCCTGGCTGCGGGAGCGGCTGCGCGACGAGGAGCTGGGCTTCCTGCCCTGAGCCACCTGGGCACACCT